AGCAATGTACAAAAAAATTCTAAGCAGTAACGTATAAATCAGCTTAAATATTTAAGAGAGATGAGGGTCACGTGATTTACCTTACTTATGTCGAAAGTAAAAATGTTGACAAGTAAAAAATGTCGAAAATGAAAATATCGAAAACAATAATTATAAACATGTTACAAGATATAAGTGTTGAAAACGACAATCCATGAAGAGACAAACGAATAGCATTAAATTGGCCGAAAAAGAAATAGCGAAAAAAATAATGTCGAGAAAAAATCGCGAAGAAAAAAATGGCGAAAAGAAAATAGCGAATCGAAAAAATGTTGAAGATAACAATGGCGAAACAGGCTATAGCAAAAAATCCCTTGCAATCATATGAGTTTGTCGAGAAAAGTGTATTTCAACATTTTCGACCAGTGAAATGAAGATATTTTTTTGTATACAGAAAAATAATCCATATTTAAGTAGACCAACAAAAATAATAATGGATCAAAAATATTCAGGCATAAAACCAACAACAGAACTATATGTTTCTTTTAAGTGGGTAGGTTGCAGATGTGAATATCAGTATTTGCTTCATCTCTAATCTCGAACTTTACATCTTACTGCTTGATAGAGTTACTTAACGGCATTCGAGACATTTTCGACATTTTTCAGGAAAATATTTTTTTTCACCATTTCTATATGATAGACATTTTTTATTCCGCTTTTTTCTTCGCTCTTTTTTTTCGCTATTCTTTCGTTCGCTATTTTTTCTTTTGGCCGTTTTGATACATATCAGACAAACATCCTCACCCTCATCCACACTCTTGCACTCACATTTTAATCCATCAGTTTTGGTTTCGATATTTTCATTTTCGACGTTTTTACCTTTCTAACAAAGTAGAGTTTACCAGTCACGTTTATCATATTAGATGTGATATCTGTGAGTAAAAAAGGCAACATAGCTGAACTCAATAGAAGAACCTCGAAAATTTTCAAGTCAAGCTACGGAAAAAACTTATATGGGAGCAGTGTTTTTAATGGAATGATCACTCAGAGTGTACAACAAAGGATTTTTTTTTGTTTTTCAAAGTGTACAGACAAAGGACGTACACTTGCCATTAAAAACACTATATGGAAGTACTACGCACCTATACAGGCTGCATATAATTCAAGCGGAAAGATCAAAACGTACACGCGTGAAAACGAACGCAATATTTAACGATGGTTAATACGGTAAGATTCGTTAAAAATAAAAACACTCAAGAAATATCGTTAAATATCTTCACGCGTGAAAAAGAATGAAATATTTAACGGCATGTAACGAGTTAGTTATCGTTAAAAAGACAATCACGCGTGAAACAGCGTGAAAAGTCTAACGCGTTTTCATGAGTTTCCGAAATTTAACGAAAGTTCACGAATTTCTCTTCATGAAATTTTGTTAATTTATCTTTTAACGCAACTTTTGGCGTTAATTTCTGCCCTCGCTTCGTTAAATGCCTTTTTTATTTTTGCATTCTAAGATACTGAAAGCCTATCGAAGAGATTAATTCAACGACATAGTGATAAATATTCCCAGTTACTGGATATGACTACCATCTATCGTTTTTTATTTTCATTACACATCTTATGAACAAAAGCAACAAAGGATATTTTTATTATAACAGTAGAACATTATACGCTTCGTCAGTTATGTATGTTTGCCCTTAATCGTAAGGTCAATCATGTTTACGTTTTATATCATTCTTTCAAATATTTTTCTATCTTTATCCAGAAAGTTTTTTTAGATAAATATAATATCATTTATAGTTTTCTTTATGGCTGATATACAGAAAAAATTTGATGCATGTTTAATTCGTACAAATGATGATAATTTTATTGTTGCTGAATGGCACCAGTTAGTAACAACTGCTAATAAATCAAAACTCACTGTTGGATCATGTGTTGGATATAAAAAGTCAACAAATAAACGGGAGAAGATTATTCGTGGCACAATTATGATTATTGGTTAGTTGTAAGATATGATTTCACATTTAAATTTTTTTTTTTAGGTTCATTGCAAGTATGTGAAAAACAAAAAAAATTATTCATGGCAAAGGTTAATAGTAAAAATGGTGCAGCACAAAAATTTGATGAAAAAGATGAATGTGAATCTGAATCAACTGGAATTTCATATAGTAAAAATGATTTAGAGTCAAACGATGAAGATTCGTCTGACTCAAATGATGCACGTTTGGAAATTGATACTGAACAAGAAGAAAATTGTATGAAGGTCTTATTATGTTGAACAAGCTAATGTATGTCATATTTTAGGTCATGAAAATAACTCAAAAAAAATTCAATCTAATCAAGCAACAATCAATGAACCACGAAACGACAATCGATCCAAGACATCAGATGCATCATCTTTAAATGCTGCTTATACAGAAGGTTGTATCACTAATTTTTTTAAATATTATTTTCTAATTTTTTTTTTGTTGTGAAATTATAGAAAAAACAACTAGTTCATTTAAACGAAAGAGTGTTGATTCTGACAGTGAAGCACAATATGTAGAAACAAAACGAAAACGAATTTCTGTGAGTTCTTATGAGGAGCTCAAAATGGAAAACAATCGAATGAAGAAAGAAATTGAAAAATATAAAAGGGAATGGATGCGTAAGTATTGTTTTTAAATATTTTTGCTTCAAAAACTGATAAGATTGTTTTGCTTTATTTCTATATTAACTATCAAAATCTCAATTTTATTTAATTTAAGTATTCATAGCAAGTTGTTATCTAATTGAAAAGCTTTTCTCATCTAAAAATATCAAAAGAAAAAATTCTGTTCTAGACGTCGCCCCTTTGTAATAAACTTTTAATATTTACTTCTTATAGCTCGTCCAACTGATTCTAGTGTTATAAGATATTTTGTACGTATGGGATTACTATTTTCTTCTGATGGTGAAACAGAAGAAGGTAGAGGTGAAAAATTGATTAAGATTTGTGATCAATTAAATATGACCGAAGAACAATTAATTAGATTACAAAAGCCGAACGGTACAAGAACAGCTCGTTCTATTATACGTGCCTGTTATCCACTACATACTCGAGTGGATGCTCTTGAAGAAGGTATTGATGATGATATTCGACAAGCTGTTCATGGTAATTTCTTTTTGTGATTTAATGTTAAACAATATATTTATATTATAGATTACGTTAATATGTTTCATGGCATGGAAAGTCTAACGGACGGAAAAATTAATGAAAGTATTAACAACGTTTTTCGTAGTGCCAAAAGTCAACAAAAAGATGATGGAAAAAATGAATCTCAACAATCAACTTTCAACAATTCAAAGTTTATTGGAAAAAAAAATCCAACATCAATAAAGAAAATGATATGCCAAGTAATCAATGAAATATTATTGATTTCAGAAACTTATCTAGACTTATTTTCGATGTTACTTGATAGATTTTATTTCTATTTGCATTTTTCTCGTTATATTTGTTTTTTTTTGTGCTGAGTATTCAGTGATGCACTTTATTTTTTTTTTGTTTTTTGTCAGTTATGTTTATACTTGTAGCTATATAAATGAACAATAAAAGCTTTGAAAGATAAAGAGTACTAGAAGATTAGAAACCATTGGGTTTTTCTTCATTATAATTAAAAATTTATCAATTTGATTGGATAGTTTTATATACTCTGTTTGTAATTAATCGTTGAAAACATTGTCACTTTGACTTTTTTCGAAGCAAAATGACAGAAAAGGTGGCTAATTGGCGACTTAATCGAAGGAATTTCGAACATCGACGAAGAATGATGCTTCTTGCCAAAGCAAATGGTCGTTTTTGTGTGTTGAAACTTAAAAATTCTGTCAACTGAGAAATTTATTCATTTTTTAAATTTAGTGAAGGAATGTGAGCAGCTGAATGAGGATTTAACTCAATGGGCTCAAACTAGCACAAATTTCATCAATGAATCTATTAACATTGCTGCTTCTCCAGATGATCAATCGCACAGTTATAATGATGATTGTTCGCTTCCAAATTTTACATCTCCAACTATGAATGAGTCTTATGAACCTCAAGATAAACAAAATATGTATGTATAATGTTTCGAAAACTCTTTTCATTATCTAGAGTGATGCATTAGTGTTGATTACTTTTTCTTCTTTTCCTCATGTAAAAACATTCATTTGTTCAACTAATTAAAGCAAAATGATGTTACCTTTTCGATCGTGAAAACGCGTGAAAAAAGACGTCTGTTAACGAAATATTACGCATGTTTTTTCGTTAACAGTAATTAACGTAGAAAAACACATGAAACTTCGTTAAAAGATGTCTCGTTTTCACGCGTTTGCACGACTGAAAATGTAATATATTTTTTCGTTAATTCGCTAAATTCATCAGCATTTTTAACATGGCTCTTTAATCACAGGATCAATTATTGTTTTAGAAAGTGTTTGTCCCAGAAATAGTGTTCATCGTTCTAACTATAAAATTTTTTGATTATTTTATAGACTCTCGACAAGTTCAGATTCATTATCAAGACCTATTGAAAAAGTAGATTTAGCTGCGGCTTTAGTCGCCTTGAAAAATCGTCATTCTTTATCAGCAGTCTGCATCAACGATATATGTTCACTATTGTGTGTTTTAAATGTGCCTGGTGCTCCTCGTAGTTGGTTTCAAGTGAAAAAAGCACTTGATAAATCATGTGCATCTAGTCTTGATCGAACAGTGTGGTGGATATGTCCAAATTGCAAAAAGACCTCTGATAACAAGTTTACTTGCTCAAATGCTAATTGTAACTGGCGTTTTGCACCTCCTGCATCAATGCCAAATTATTTTTATACTTTTAATATTCGTGATCAACTTTCTTCAACATTAGCGACTACAGCAGATATGTATTTACCAAAATGTACAAATGTTACACCACATTCAATTTTATCAATGAAAGATATTGTTGATAGTAACTACTATCGAAAACTACTTGATGAAGAATCTGACGACATTTTAACTCTAACTATGAGTACAGATGGAATACAACCATTTAAAAGTACGGAAAAGTCAATATGGCCTGTAACTTTTATAATTAATGAAATTAAACGTAAAAACCGATTTAGCTTTCAAAACTTAATACTTGGTGGAGTCTGGCCTGGTCCTGCAAAACCAAAGCGGTTTGAAATGTCAGCTGTGTTGGAAACAATTATTGTACAACTTAAGGAGTTGGAGAAAGGGTCTTATTTTGAATGTCGTTCAGATGCAGGCTATGTTTCACGATTCTTAAAAGTTTTTTTAATTTGTGCATGTATGGATAAACCAGCACAAGCATTGGTACAAAATTTACCCGAACCAACTGCAAAATTTGGATGCGGAAGATGCGAAATTCGTGGTAAATTTTTTTTTCCTTAAACATTTTTTTTATTTTCAGAAGTCCCATGTAAAAATTTATATAAATTCAGCGATTTAACGGAATTTAGTGTTACATTTTTGACCGTGAAGACGAGTCAAAAATATGCTTTTTAACGAAGTCCCACAAGTTATTTTACGTTAATCTTGTTGTAACGGGAAAACACGCGTGAGACTTTGTTTAATTCATATTTCTAACGCTTTTTCGCGGTCAAAAATGTAACATTAAATTTCGTTAAATCGTTAAATTTATATACATTTTTACATGGGATATTTATTTAGGATATACTGTGTTGTCGTCTGAAAATTCTGATCATCGAATTAATTGTTTTCCTATTGAAAACTCCCTGACTCAACCACATTTAAGAACAAATGATCGATATGATTATCTTATTTTAATTAAAGAACTAAATGATATTGAAGTAGAAAAACTTAATCGTCATTCACTTGATCGCAAAGGTAAGCGTCAACTCAAGCAAAAATTAATCAAAAATAAGGAGTCTGAACATGGAATCCTCGGTCCTTGTGTGCTTCGTCAATTGAAATATTTTGACGTTGGATTCAGTTTTGTATCAGATAATCTACACAACGTGTATCAAGGTGTAACGGTAAGTAGTATACTTGACATGTAAATCGATACCTAATATTTTTTTATTTTTTCTAAGAGGAAGTTATTATCTCTTTGGCTTCATGCTGATTATAAAAGGGAAGATTGGTCGTGTTATAATCATATTCATCAATTGTCATCAATGCTTCAATCATTTCGTTTTCCTTCAACAACTGGTCGACGACCACGTTCACTACTTAAATTCAAAAAGTTTAAAGCCAGTGAATTAAGAATGGTTCTTCTTTTTGGATTTGTGATCTTTAAAAAGGTCTTAAAAGCTAAATATTACGATCATTTTCTGAAATTAGTAGTAGCTATTCATTTTTCCGAGCACCGAACTATAAGCATGGTCATGGTCGATAACGTAAAAAGTCTTCTTCATGAGTTTCTCATTGAATATCCAAAACTCTACACGGCTCGACATAATCAACAAGTTGTACATTCCCTTAATCATATTGGACAAACTATTAATGATTATGGTCCATTGACTTCTTACTCTACATTTCACTTTGAAAATATTTTAGGTGATATCTTGATTTTTTCCTACCAATCTTTTATATATGGTTTCATTGATATTTAGGAATCATAATGCGAACTATCAAAGCTACTCGTCGAGAAGAAATTGAAATGATTGGAAGTTTAAATATATTCAGACGTGCATGCTTAGGGGTCATCCATGAAAGACACCTGGGTGATGGGATATATTTAGTTCGCATTGATCGTAGTATCATACTTGAAAGCTTAATTCAAGTTTCAAGCTTGAATCATATGTGCTTCCATGTCACTCACATCAATAGACGCAGTTTTCAGGATTACTGTTTATTCATATTTGAGTCAGTAGGTTTTTTCTGAAATTCTTTTTTATATCAGATATCAAAGGAGCGAGACATTTATATAAAGTTTTAAAAAAGAACATTTATCGAAGCAGGCGCTAAAATTAACGCCAAAAGTTGCGTTAAAGGGTAAATTAACAAAGTTTCATGAAGAGAAATTCGTGAACTTTCGTTAAATTTCGAAAATTCGTGAAAACGCGTTAGACTTTTCACGTTGTTTCACACGTGATTGTCTTTTTAACGATAACTAACTCGTTACATGTCGTTAAATATTTCATTCTTTTTCACGCGTGAAGATATTTAACGATGTTTCTGGAGTTTTTTTTATTTTTAACGCATCTTACCGTATGAACTATCGTTAAATATTTCATTTGTTTTCACGCGTGAAAAAACAAAACTCGATTTTTACTTGAATGTCCTTTATGGAAGACCTTTTACAACTTCATGATTCAACAATGAATATTCAACTTAAAAACTACATTGAAAATATGATGTTTGGTCGTGGCTATTATAAATCATCATCAAGTGCGCCTCGGACTATGCATTCAATACCGTCCAATAACAGAATCTCCACTTTATTCTCGAACGAAAATCTTCAGTTTTATGGAACAATCAAGATTGGACGTGTTCGTTATACAACTGCAGACTACTCAAAATCAAAGGCAGCTGATGATTCTGCAGTTCTATTCAGAATTCAAGATGCAATTCATTTTGGTTTAATAACTGCCATATTTATTGCTACAGGTGATGAAATTTTACTGGAACTTTGGCCGCTTTCTGATGTCAAAACCTTATCAATAGTTACAAATGGTCAAAAAATCTATATAACATCAATTCAAGAAGGAAAATTACATAAAGACAATAACTATTATTATGTACCAGTAAATGATATCATTGAAAAATGCGTCTACTGGAAAAAAAAATCTAGCACAGTTTGTTTTTTTCGCTATCCTAATCTTGAAGAATCCTCATGATATATAAAAAAAAGCTTATTTTTACTATTCCAGATTAAGCCTAAACATTCAACTCATAGTACGATGGCTACTTAACAACTACTGACTCAAAACTTCAATGTCACTATCTAACGACGATTAGCACGATATGATTCGTTAAAATTATAAGAACTCAAGAAACGCCATTAAACATTTTCACGCGTGAGAAAGAATGAAATATTTAACGATGGTTAACACGGTAAGCTTCGTTTAAAATAAAAAGTTCAAATGATATCGTTAACTATTTTCACATGTGTAAACGATGGCAACTTTTAACGATAGATAACACGATAAAGTTCGTTAAAATGAAAAAAAACGCAAGAAAGATCGTTAAAAATCTCACACTTGAAAACGATGGCAACTTTTAACGATAGATAACACGATAAAGTTCGTTAAAACGAAAAAAAACGCAAGAAAGATCGTTAAAAATTTCACGCGCAAAAACAAATGAGATCTTTAACGACATATAACGAGTTAGTGACCGTGAAAAGCATAATCATGCGTAAAAAAGCGTGAAAAATCTAACGCGTTTTCATGATTTTCCGAAATTTAACGAAAATTCTTGAAGTTTTCTTCATTAAACTTCGTTAATTTGTCTTTTAACGCGACTTTTGGCGTTAATTTCAAGACTCGTTTCGTTAAATGCCTATTTTAGTTTTACATGGGGTCTACACTCTTGACTGAATCCTTTCTCGGTTTTCATATAGATCTTTTCAACGACTGAATAAAAAAAAAGAAGTACGCAAAACAAGAAGAAATAATGATACATATTAAACAAAGAAGAGCACCCAGAAAAAAAGTGGAGAAATTCTTCCGAGGATGCAATACAGCGACGGCAATAATGTCGAGTTATTCGAGTTTTATACAGAGCCTTGTAATTAAGAGAATCACTTCTGCTTGCTCTTAGAATATTTATGTGTGTCACATTCCAGGCTCATGAGAGACCACACTGACAATTTGTTATTCTTGCTTTGATTGAAATGTCCTTTTTTTTCTACTTCGAATCATGTTGAGATTCCGAAGCTTAAATCAACTCAAGCCATTACGCACATCTTTCATTGCAGTTTGTTCTTTGGTTCCTGCACCTCCCCTAATAGATTAATTGAAAGTAGTTTTCTTCTTCTTTCAGTCTAATGGCGAGTAAATCGGCATTAGATTAACATTGATTGTCTTTTAGGGTAGGGTAGGAAAATCCGTACCCTTGCAGGAATTTAATATCTATTGCAATTCCATCAGTTTGACCTCAGAATAGGCATCGTAGAATCTCGATGCCATCTAACATTTCACTCAACAAGCTGAGATCTAATTGTTTTGGAAATTTTCAAAGAATTTACTTGAATCAACCTGCAATAAGACTTGCGTTAAGACTGAAAAATTATTGAAGAGAAGTCTAAAAACAAAGTTTAGTCATCATAACGATCCTAGCCAAGAGAGGAACTGCAGAATCACCATGTAAAATAATAGGGATAATTTGTCGAGAAACTTTTGTTTTGAAACGAATTGGCTACTTTGAAAGAGCAAATAAAGTTTAGTAGAAATCCAAATTTTCTACAACCTCTGAAATTCAGAGGTGTGCACCGTCCCTAAAAATACAGGAGCGGCGGCGGACAATAAAAGTTAAATTTTTAAAAATTGACGGCGATGCTGACCGCTCTGCGCGCTGTTTTGCCGAGCGGACTGCCGCACCATATATTGTTCGAAGGGTCGTTAGGTGCGGCCGCTCCGTCGAGCGGCCGTTCGGTAGTCTACTAAAGCTATTTTTCTTGATCTACTTTGTAGATTTATTGTCACATTACTGCATACCCAATGCCGTATAATCAATTGGGCATGTACGGCCACTTCAATGTGGTTCAATAAATCTAGATCAAGTTACATCGACATGAAGAGAAAAGTTGTTAGAAAATTGTAGAACTATATCATGACAGATGTTACTTTTTAAAAGACAATGGTAACGATGGATCCAACTGTTCATAATATTATTGAATATGATTTAACACAGTATTAATACCATAAAGCAAACTAATGGATAAATGAATAATAGAACTAGTTTTCAGTTGAATAACCTATAAACCAGTATATTATTAGATTACTTTTCTAGTAGCAAAGAGCGAGATATATTACAAATCAGTTACATAAGTAAAGTGATAAACTATAATCGAAAAAGAAAAACTTGAAGCCAATGATTTGTTTGTGTCGTATATGTAACAAAAGGGCTAATAAAATATATATGTTGTATCAAAGTTACATCGGTCGACGGAGTTGTAAGTTCGACAATGATCGCCATTGAAATTACGACTTTGACAATAGAATTTGTTGAAGTTAGTTTTATTTAATTTGTCAATAAACAATTATTAAATTCAATGCCCCGCGCGAAATATATGATATATAATATATTTGGCCAAGTAACACTATTTATTCGACTATAGGAATTATTCATAGAAAGTGAGGAAAAAAATGAAGATAGAGATAGAATCAACGGAACATATTGCAGTAGGAGATAATGAAAATGTAGCTGTTATTCACTGAAACATTGAGTATATCGGTTAATGAAAGTTCTATTTGTGTTAATATCTACGTACAAATCACCAATGTATTTCAGCTAATGTATATGCTCATCAATTAATAATCGGAGAAAAATTATCTAATACCAATGAGGCAAACTGATTTCAATAACTGAAATCATTTTGAAACAATTTTAAATCACGAAATCAATTTGTTCCCTTTAATTTCAATACGGTACAATATCCTTATTGAAACTTTCAAGTTTCACATATCAACTCCTAATTCATTTTCATTGGATTAACCTTTTCATTACGTGTATACTTGATAGTGAACGATATGAGAAACATGCAAATATACATGGAAAATTGTTCAATAGTTTGATTTTACTCATTACTTAAAGAATGAATACATTGCTACCATAGGAACCTTTTGTGGAACTCACGTATGTTTTCGAAGAAAATAGTGAGTGTAAGTTTTAAGTTCGAGGTTGGCGGCTCCCCCCCCCTCCCCTCCCCCCCCCACCCCATTACAGACACATAGCAACGGAGAAAGAGAACATTACAGACATACCCCCCCATTACAGACACATAGCAACGGAGAAAGAGAACATTACAGACATACCCCCCAA